AAAATAAAAGAAAAAAAGCCTCATAAATAAAACTAATACAGCAATAACATTTAAAGTGGAACGTTAGTTAAAAAAAATTAAAATGGGCAAACTGACAGGAATTTTAATGCAGAAGAGATATGCTTGGTCTCGTCTGCAATAAAGTTACGTACCTGCATGTCCACCCCTGTACAGTGAGGCGTGCAGCTCACTGTACAAAATCAACAACGTCAAATCGGACTGAATTCCTGCACATGCATGGGAGTGACGTCATCCCCATCTGGCCAAAGAAAGCGGATGATGATTGAGACCCAGAAGACACCCGCCGAAGATGTCAGCTGCCAGGTGGGGGGGCTCCGGGACACTGCATCGCTGAAGCCAAGGTGAGCATAGTTCCACTTTAAGGATTGCAATAGAATACATTTTTGGTTTTGGGTTTAATACAAATTTTTTTATGTTATTGCTATTACAAGGGTGACAAACCACCTATGTGATGGCAAAGTATACATCCTCGTTAACAGCGGTCTATTATACAGTGTTCATAGAAACAAAGAAAAGTGATGGCAGAATAAAGACCAATGGGTCCATCGAGTCTGCCCTTTTTTTTAATACGTTTTGTATTTTCTGCTGGAAGTCTATTCCAGGCATCAACTACCCTCTCACTTTCTAAGATTAGTTTTGAACGTTCCTCCAGTTAGTCTGAGGTCACGTCCCTGTGTTCTTGATCCTGGTTTCATATTAAAAGTATTGCCCTCCTGAACCACATTTATGGACCTGAATACCAATATAGTTTTCTTATTTTGCTTATCTAATATTTTTCACAGACAAATGTTGGCATTTGCCATTGGAGCTAATTTGAGCCTATACACTTTATGAACTCGATCTGCCCTCCATTTGTCTCTGGCCTGTGTAGGTTGTGCTGCCACAGTTTAGGTCTGGACTTTGGGCCATTCTAACATGTGAATAGCTCAAGCTCTGGCAGATTGGGTGGAGAGCGTCTGTGAACAGCAATTTTGAAGTCTTGCCACAGATTCTCAATTGGATTTAGATCTGGACTTTGACTGGGCCATTTTTAACACATGAATATGCTTTGATCTAAATCATTCCATTGTAGCTCTGGTTGTATGTTTAGGGTCGTTGTCCTGCTGGAAGGTGAACCTCCGCCCCAGTATCAAGTCTTTTGCAGACTCTAACAGGTTTTCTTTTAACTTTAGGAAGCTGCCTCATAGATGTCACACCGCACGGCCTATGTGAAACGGCCGGCTGCCATCTTTATACTACTGCAACTTTGACCTTTTTTTTAAATGTGAGTTATTTTGCATCTACTTTTGTTACCCCTTTATTTAATAAAAAGTTACTACACTATGGAAATTCTTTTTGCTCTGGCTCATTTGTCATGATCCTCCCCTATAAGGATATCTATAGTGACTTGGCATTAACCATGAGTGTGGCTGATTAATGCTGGTGCCTGGATGCCCTGATGGTGTGCTGCTTATCCTACTGATGCCCATTAGATGACCCGGTGTTCCAGTAACCTGATGCAGATGACCAGGAGTTGGTCCCAATTTACTCAAATGCGCATTTAGTTGCGCTCTCTGGTTAGTGCAATCTACATCTATATATTCTAATACCACCATCACGGATTTCCACTGAGTATACCTTAATTGAATATTGCTTCACTCTATGCACCTTGAAATGCCAACTTGGGAAGTTTACCACAACTCTATTTTGCAAAACGCCCTAGTGCATTCATCCATTTATTTTACTCATTTTGATTGCTGCTATAGACTTTGAGATAACCACAGTTGGTCATTTTATTTTATTATTAAAGAAATTTGACTCAGTCATATATGATTTAGATGTTCTATGCTCTTATTACATTTTTAGTGCTGCATGTTTATTTTATATGAGGTTTTCTTTTAAGATTGCACTGTATTTGGCTCCATCCATCTTCCCCATCAACTCTGACTAGCTTCCCTGTACCCACTGAAGAAAATCATCCCCACATCATGATGCTACCACCACGTTTCACGGTGGGGATGGTATGGTCAGGGTGATGTGCAGTGTTTAGTTTTCCGCCACACATAGTTTGCTTTTAGGTCAAAAAGTTCAAATTTGTGCTCGTTTGGCCAGAGCACCTTCTTCCACATTTGCTGTGTCCCCCACATGGCTTCTCGCAAACTGCAAACAGGACTTATGGTTTTCTTTCAGCAATGGCTTTCTTCTTGCCACTCTTCCATAAAGGCTGGATTTGTGGAGTGCACGACTAAAAGTTGCCCTGTTGACAGATACTCCCACCTGCGCTGTGGATCTCTGCAGTTCCTCCAGAGGTACAAATGAGCCTCTTGGCTGCTTCTCTGATTGATGCTCTCCTTGCCCGGCCTGTCAGCTTAGGTGTGTTCCTTGGCCTTCATAATGCTGTTTGTTCACTAATGTTCTCTAACAAACCTCTGAGGGCTTCACACAACAGCTGTATTTACAGTTGTGTTCAAAATAATAGCAGTCAGACATCACTAAACCGGATCAATCACTGTTTTTGGTAGAAATGATATTTCTACATGACAAATAATTTACTAGCAGGTGTGTAGTAGAGTAATAGAAATCCAACAGACCCAACAGTCATGACATGCTGCTGATTCTGTGTAATTGAATCACTAATTGAAAGGGGCATGTTCAAAATAATAGCAGTGTGGAGTTCTATTAGTGAGGTCATTCATTCTTTAAATAAGGGCAATAATTTGCCACCTGTTTTTTTTTAAAGGAAGGAAGGCAGCAAATGTTGTACATGCTGATTACAGTGCATTTCTCTCTGAAATTCTGAGGAAAATGGGTCGTTCCAGACATTGTTCAGAATAACAGCGTACCTTAAATTAAAAAGTTGATTGCAGAGGGGAAAACATATAAAGAAGTGCAGAAAATGATACTCTGCTCAGCTAAAATGATCACAAATGCTTTAAAATGGCAACCAGAACCTGAAAGACGTGGAAGAAAGCGAAAAACTACCATTCGAATGAATAGAAGAATAGCCAAAATGGCAAGGACTCAGCCAACAATCAGCTCCAGGAAGATCAAAGAAGGTCTAAAGTTACCTGTGAGTAGTTACAATTAGAAGACGCCTATGTGAAGCCAAGCTATCTGCAAGAAGCCCTCGCAAAGTCCCACGGTTGAAAAAAAGACATGTACTGAAGAGGTTACAATTTGGCAAAGAGCACATTGACTGGCCTAAAGAAATGGCGCAACATTTTGTGGACTGATGAAAGTAAGATTGTTCTTTTTGGGTCTAGTGGCCAGAGACAGCTTGTCAGATGAGCCCCAAACACTGAATTCAAGCCACAGTACACTGTGAAGACAGTGAAGCATGGTTGCGCAAGCATCATGCTATGGGGATGTTTCTCATACTACGGTGTTGGGCCTATTTATTGCATACCAGGGATCATGGATCAGTTTGAATACATCAGAATACTTGAAGAGGTCATGCTGCCTTATGCTGAAGAGGAAATGCCCTTGAAATGGGTGTTCCAACAAGACAACGACCCCAAACACACCAGTAAACGTGCAACATCTTGGTTCCAGACCAACAAGATTGACGTTATGGAGTGGCCAGTCCAATTCCCGGATCTTAATCCAATAGAAAACTTGTGGGGTGACATCAAAAATGCAGTTTCTGAGGCAAAACCAAGAAATAGAGAACTGTGGAATGTAGTCCAATCTTCCTGGGCTGGAATAACCTGTTCACAGGTGCCAGAAGTTGGTTGACTCCATGCAACACAGATGTACAGCAGTTCTCAGAAACAGTGCTTATACAACTAAATATTAATTAAGTGATTCAAAGGAAAGCAAAATCTTCAAACATTTTTCAGTTTATATAGTGAATGTTTGAGTTTGTAAAGAAGAATACAAACACTGCTATTTTTTTTTTGAACAGTCTAATATTCACTTTTCTTCAATTTTTTTTAGAGGGAACAACTCCACAATTTTGATATATTTTTCTTCATGTTTTGATTTGGAATAGAATGTGTAGCGTTCCCCAGTGCATTTGTGTATATAGAAATAAAAGCTATTAGAAGGATTTTCAGCTTTATTCACTTTTTTCAAACACACTGCTATTATTTTGAACACAACTGTATATGGAGATTAAATTACACTCAGGTGTAATTAGGCAACTTCTAAAGGCAGTTGGTTCCACTAGATTTTAGTTAGGGGTATCAGAGTAAAGGGGGATGAATACAAATTCACGCCCCACTTTTCAAATATTTTTTGTAAAAAAAATTTTGAAAACCATTTATCATTTTCCTTCCACTTCACAATTATGTGCCACTTTGTGTTGATCTATCACATAAAATCCCAGTTTACGTTTTTGGTTGTAACATGGCAAAATGTGGAAATTTCAAGGGGTATGAATACTTTTTCAAGGCACTGTATATCAGTAAAATACTTCATCTATTATGTCAAGAGGATAACCTTTTACTGTAAATTTGTTTTTAAGGTTATCACTTTGAAAAACAACTGTACGAGAGATAATGACTACATAGCTCAGTCTTCAAAAACGGACTTCTGGGGATATTATTTATCAATCACAGTTAGTAGCAACTCTTATAATTAACTAGTAGCCGACCGCAGATAGCCGAATGACGGCTGCACTGCGGCCGGCCAGTTCTGAGTGGACGTCATATGACGTCCCACCAGAACGCGCTCTCCTGCGCGCCACAGGGGGCGGGCACCCGGCGATCTCCGTGATCGCTGTGTCCTACGGACACAGCTGATCACGTGATGTGGTAAAAGGCCAATCACAGCAGCCTTTTACCACCTGATCAGCGGTGTCCAATGACACGCTGATCAGAGGGAAATGCAAGTGCCGGTTCTCGGCTGCACTTTCCTCACGCTGTCAGATCGTGAGGAAAGTACTGCCGAGAACCGGCAGTTGTCAGAGCGAGGATCGGCACCGATCATCAGGGCACTGATGATCAGTGCCCTGATGATCGGTGCCCAGCAGTGCCACCCGCAAGTTCCGCCCACCTTTGCCCAGCAGTGCGCCCACTAACTCCGCCCACCTGTGCCCAGCAATGCACCCACCTGTGCCACTCTGCATGTCACACACCTGTGCCCAGAAGTGCCTACCTGTGCCCAGCAGTGCCACCCACCTGTGCCCACCAGTGCCACCCACCAGTGCCGCCCACCAGTGCCACCCACCAGTGCAGCTTAGCAGTGCTGCCAGTCAGTGCCACCAGTCAGTGCCCAGCGGTTGTGCCAGTCCCAGCAGTGATGCCAGTCAGTACCGTCTATCAGTACCCATCATCAGTGTCACCTATCAGTGCCGCCTATCAGTGCTGCATATTAGTGCCGCCTATCCGTGACACCTCATTAGTGCTGCCTATCAGTGCCCTTTAGTGCTGCCTATCAGTGCCCATCAGTGCCGCCTATCAGTGCCCATCAGTGCTGCCTCATCAACGCACATCAGTGAAGGAGAAAAATTACCTGTTTGAAAAATTTTATAATAGAAACAAAGAAACTTTTTTTTTTTTTTTTCAAATTTTTTGCACCTTTTTTATTTATAGCGCAAAAAGTAAAGCGCCCAGTGGCGATTAAATACCACCAAAAGAAAGCTCTATTTGTGAGAAAAAAATGATCAAAATTTCATATGGGTACAATGTTGCATGACCGCGCAATTGTCAAAGTGCGGCAGCGCTGAAAGCTGAAAATTGGCCTGGTAAATAAGGGGGTATAAGTGCCTGGTAGGCAAGTGGTTAAGAAAAGAATTGCCAGTCATTGGTTTTGTGTAGTTTCTAGCATAAATCATTTTACCATCATGACACATTTCAAGATCTAAGAAGGCTAGGGTGTCTTTATCTGGGACTTTCTTTCACTTCAGGATAGACACACCCTAGCCTTCTTAAATCTCAAACTGTGCCATGATGGTAAAATGATTTATGCTAGAAACTACACAATAGCCAACGTCTGGAGCCATACACCGCTCAGCACCGTTGGTCAGTGAGCTGCTGGAGGACCAGATCCCTTGCAGGAGGAATGGATTGATGGATATTTGGACTGATATACTGACATTTCATTATGCTCTAATAAGTGCATTATTCTTTGTGCCTTAATACATTTTTCAACCTCTCTTCCCCTGGGGGTTTATCTCCCACTGTCACAATTTGAAAACAGCACATCCATACAGGGCTCCGCCCACTTGGCTGCATTATTCATTTACCGTTTCCTGTGAATGAACAGACTACACGTACTGTCACCCATTGCAGCTGATGGCTTGTAGTTCTCAATGAACTGCAAGGGCACAAGTGAGCGCTCTCCTAGTTCATTCATTCTTCCTGCCATTCAGTAACTGTTTGCCCGTATGGGCAGACAGCTTACTGAGAGTGTAAAGGATCAATGCATATACAAACAGATATAGTGGTGTTGCACAGCACTTTTTATTTGTATTCATTTTAGGATCCAGGCAATGCTTTACAGGATGCAATGTAAATAAGATGCAAAAAGACAAGAATTTATTATTCTTTTAGTTCTTACAAAAGGTGAATGTAGTTCAAGTTATTTTTTTTTTTTTTTACCTTAGAGCATTTTATGCATTAAGATTTAAAAAACAAACAAAAACTCCCCACTACTTGCGCCCCCCCCCCCCCGTCCTGCTCTTTACTCTTCCTGGTCTCACAAGAGACACTGACAGCTGACAGAGCCATAGGTTCCTGCTGTTGTCAAACTCCTGTACGGAGCGACGGGGTGGCTTTTGCTAGACAGGAAGACAGAGCAGAAAGCACGAGTGGGGGACTCCAAAAAAAAGGAGTTAAGGGACTATTCAGTGGAATCCCATTTGCAAAGAGCAGGTATAACATCTTTTTTATTTTGTTGTGGAAAAACATTAGCCTTTATAATCATTTTAAAGTTTATTTAATAAACAAAATATAGTTAAACTCAACAAAAGGGGTTGATGCCTAAAGTTTTCCCACAAGTTTGACTTTATTATTTAGGCATGTTATTTTTGTATGATGGGTGTTAATGGGTATACAATCACTTGAGGAATTTCTGAAAATCACCTTCCCAGTGACCATCACTTTAATGTACTGTGAGCTGTAGATATAGTCATCATGAACAAGGGTTTCCCTAAGGCTCCGTTCACATTATCACATTCCTGCTACGCAATTCTGCATGTTGCATTGAGCAGCCCTATGCGCGTCTGTCACACAAAAAGAAGCTCCTGCTCCTTTTGAGGTGAAAAGTTTCACAGGATTTAAAAAGGTGTTGTGTGCCATGCAATCATGTTGCATTTGAGGGGCCATTGAAGGATAATGGAATGCAAATGTGCGTAGAGCTTTGTACTATGATTGTCATGTGATTGGGGATTAAGGGCAGAGTCTCAGTGATTCTGCCCACGATCCTAAATCATGAGATTTGAACAAGGCCTAAGAATGAAAAGTTAAAAAAGGTTGAGAAAGGCTGAGGTGCTTTAATTTTATTTCTTTAGTTGCTGCTAGAAGAGGCTTTACATCAGTTTTTCATTAGTTTACACATCAGTTTTTTACACCCACTATCAATGAAAAAACAGACCGTTTGTCTATGTTCATCCACTTTTCGTCTGTTGGTTTTTTGTTTTTTTTTTTAACGGAACAAAAGATAGGGGTTTGATTTGTTTCAAAAACTTGATATTGATGGATGCAGATGTAAACGAATGATCATCCATTTTTCCACAGAGATGCATTGATGTTCGTTTTTCATCCATTAACCACTTGCCATCGGGCACTTATAACCCCTTCCTGCCCAGGCCAATTTTCAGCTTTCAGCGTTTGCGCACTTTGAATGATGAATGCGCAGTCATGCAACATTGTGCATTTTATTTTTCCACTATAAACAAAAAAAAAGAGCAAAAAAAAAGGTGAAAAAAAGTTTTTCTTTCTATTATAAAATTTTGCAAACAGGTAATTTTTTTCTTTCACTGATGTGCGTTGATGAGGCGGCACTGATATTCAGCAATGATGGTCGCTTATAGTCGGCACTGACTGCCAGTCTTGACTGGCAGCACTGATGGGTGGCACTGCAGGGCACTGATCATCACTGCTGATCTGCTCTGTGACAGCTACCGGTTATTGGCAGTACTTTCCTCACCTTGTGACAGCGTGTGGAAAGTGCTGCAGATACCTGGCAACTGTATTTACTCCGTGATCTGCTGTGTCATTGAGCACAGCTGATCACATGGTAAAAGGCATCTGTGATTGGCCGTTTACCTCATCACGTGATCAGCTGTGTCCGCAGGACACAGCGATCATGGAGATCGCCGAGTGCACGCCCTGGGGGTATGCCCCTGGGGGTGCACTGGGGGGCGCGTTCTGGGAGGATGTCATCTGACGCCCTCCCAGAACTGGGTAACTGCGCTGTAGCCGTCATTCGACTATAGCACGGTTACCAAGTGGTTAACAGATGGATGAAAAATGGACAAACAGTTCACACATGGGAAAGGGGTGTTATTGCCAACGCTTAATTGAACAAGCTGAAGTTAGAAGTTGATTGGTTACCATGCAAATCTGCAACAGATTCTGTGTTCTCCAGTTTTAGTAAATCTCCCCCATTGCATGCACTTTTTAACGCGTTTTCTATACAACTATATGACAGGGGCTTGTTTATATATATAAAAAAGAAAAAATTCAGAGGAATGAACATTTCCACCGACTATAATGGAACATAATTGATCAAGCATTTGTGTGATTTACACAAACAGCAAAACACAGATGTACATATAAAATTAACTGTTTTAACCTGCCAAATGATATTCAGTTGTGTCCAAACAGCTTTGTAATCCAGTTACCCCCATTAGACAGCAAAACCAAGTTGATGAGCTCCTTTTTTCTCTACTGTAGGCAAGCAACACAGATTAGTCACCAACCTGCCCACAGACTGTGACTGAATGATGATCTCATTGGTGTGCTGCATCTTATTCGCTCTGCTCTCTCCTCTTGCAAGCATGTTTAAACTAATGACAGACAGTGCTGTGTATAGCAATAGAGCTTTAAATGGTCCAGTGTAAAATACTGAAGGCCTATGTGAAAGGGCCCTAAAAACATTGTTTTACAAACGGATCTAGACTTACTCATGATGTAGGTCTATGGGTGGGTGATTGTAAACCATGTGTTTACATCCAAGTCCATTTATGTCTATTTTTAGGCAAGATATACATTTTTGGTTTATACTTTTGTAACTCATGGGCAGTTTCTTCAACAACTACAAAAACAACATAAAAAAAAGATGATTTTTCTCTTACCTGAAAACATGACTGAACTGATGATGCTCATATGAAAAGAACCCTGCGTTTGACTGCTGCTGCACATGGGATTTACAGGCACTGCCAGGTTTCTTTAGCATCCAAGCCAAAATTGAACCCCTTATCTATGGCCTGGGAACTGCACCCTGTCCTAATGAAGGAGCAAGGTGGTCACCAAATCTGCCTACCACTTGGCCTGACTCTGAATTTGTCTTGATATCAGTTTTCTATAATCAGACATTTATGCTTGTTCTTTGCAAAATATGTAGGGGTCTGCTGCCCTCTGCTATCTGTATTTGTAAATAGATGTTTTGTTGGTTATAGACAGGTGTTTCCTGTCCCTCCTATCTGTCATAATCACCGATTGGAGTGTTGTGATCCAAAAAGGGGAGTTCCCAAGAAGGAGCAACAGAATTGAGCCACATAACCTCACACACACACACGCTGCTGTATTCACCCAGACCAGACGCAGGGACTATTAGGCAAGTATTCATATGTTCTAATTTTTTAACTGCAGCTGCCCAGCTTCTTCACTGTATATCACAATCCTTTTGATAGACGTCTATCCTATTGTTATCACACATGCATAGTGCCAGCTATGTCTGTGCTACTGTATGTGAGTACTGGTCACCATCCAGTATATTAGTAGGCGAACCTGTATTACAATAGAGTTTATAAGCAGCTCATGTTATTTTAGTTAACCCTGCCTTTCTGGTCTGGGATTCTATAGCTGAATTAACAGCATAGCCTAGAGCAGGGGTCCTCAAAACTAAGGCCCGCGGGCCGCATGCGGCCCACTGAGGACATTTTTCTGGCCTGCCGGGTGTTTTGAAATATTTGGCATCCCCCTGCATACTTTCATTCCACCAGCACCGCTCTGACTGGCACTGCCTCTCCCTCACCTGCTCCTCGCCTCCACCCCCAGTGATAGTACTGTGTGCTGGGGATGTAGATCTGGCTGGCGCGGCGAGTAAATGATAGAGGGGTGGAGTCTGATCTCTGGAGGGGCTGCCTGCAGTTTTCCTGCGCTGGCCAGTGACAGACAGCCGAGGAGAAGGACACTGATCAGACTGCGTTGAATTGATGGACACTGGTGAGGCTGCATTAATGGACACTGATCAGACTGCATTGATGGGCATTGGTGAGGCTGCATTAATGGACACTGATCATACTGCATTGAATCAATGCAGTCTGATCAGTGTCCATCAATGCAGTCTGATC